TAAATTAGTTTCAACCGTTTAAAGTTAATTTGTTTTAGTCATTCAACCGCTGAGAATGTCCTATGTCTCCCACCCGGATAGTCACCAAATGAATGCTCATCCCAGATGGCTTTCCCCTGCCTAATGTCACCATAACTCAATGGGAACCTATTGAATCAGAGCAAATTAACATGCATATATCTGTGCGAGGGCAGTGGCGATGCTCGTGTTGGGCCCACAAGAACCCAGACCCCTGCGGCAGGATAGATAGACAGACAGACAGACAGACAGGCAGGCAGGCAGGCAGGCAGGCAGGACTCTTGTGCCGTTTGGCATACAAAATAAGCAGAAACAAATTCGATAACAAATGGTTTGGAATCGAGGCAACAACAACAACCCCCACGCGATATACATAGATATATAATATATTTATATTTGTAAAGAAAGAAGGAGAGCCGGGGGAGCGGGAAAAAATTGAAGGACTCTGGCGAATTCAGGAACAAATGACATATTGTCCTGGGTAGCGCAAAAGAGAGTAAGCAATACACTGAAATAAAAACAGTAGTAGTTTTTGGATAATCTTCAATAACTTAAAGAACTCATTTTGCAAGTCAAAAATATGCATTGAAAATTATAAAATATTAATACTCTTTTTTTCTCAGTGTAAGGCCAACATATGGACCCGAGTCTGATGTGAGTTTTTGTTTGCATTTGTATTTGTTTAACGTAAATATAAAATTTATTATCTAGCGAAGCGCATAAATTAGCCAAACAAGGAATCAGAGCCAGAACCAGAACCAGAAGCAGAATCAAATTGAGACCAGAAAAGCATGTCCCTCCCACTCTCCAGAAGAGATCAAGTTGCTGATGATAACAAATGAAACCAAATGAGTGGAATGCTGGATATATCGGCGGCAGGCAAAACACGGAGAAGCAGGGACATCTCCGGACAGGAATCATCAATTGTGGATAGTTCAATTTGTGACTTTTCAACTAGATTAATGAACGCACATGGATATGACGGTCTGATTATAGAGACAACGAAATGAAGCTACATATAAGCAAATTTGCTAAGAAATATTCGATTTGCAGTGTTAATTAAAGGAATGAAGGAATAAGAAATAATTAAGGAGGTACAAGTTCTCTTATTCTGATAACAGGAAGTTCCGTTCTGATCCCTAACTTCAAAAGTTTGGAAAATGAAGAAGGATAACTCTTTAAGCCCGTTAAGGCAGAACACCTTAAACTTTGCATAAATAAATATCGAATTTCGCAGCACTCATCGAAATCAAAACGGTCCCTCGGGTGCTATCATTATTACATTGTGTTCACACTTAACCGAGAGCGGGCTAATTAGTTGTCTTGTGTTTGACAGAGACAAGTGTTGATTTTCCCAAACTCGCATGCACACACACACACACACACACACAGACACCTCGGCTAATTAACACATTTTCACAGCATTTCTCGACCCTAGACCTGGCTTTACTTTTAGCAAGTATTTTCCCTCCTGTTTTTTTGTGCCTGGCCACACCGCATGCAACCAGCAGGCAACATGGCTTTCGCCGTGTTTTCGCCATAACTTTTCTGAGCCAGAGTCGCTGCCAAGGCTAAGGACTAGTGTATGCAAAGCCCCCAAAAGCACCTAAAGAGAAAAAAAACTGTGAAAAAACGTGGTAAATTCTGCAACAAAATCCATGCCAACATGACCAGCAGGCAAAAGGCAAACGGCAAAAGGCAGGCAAGGGTAACGAAAAGTTTGGCCAAACCGCCCGAAACTTTTGAAGATTCCCAACTGCAACTCTTCAAATGTGTGTTGAAAGACACACACACACACAGACACACACAGACACACACAGACACACATGCAGCCAAGTCGCATCTAAGCCATTGTGCACATCCTGCATATCCTGCCTGTTTACCAAATGAGTTTTGTCCCAGTTTGTTTAATGCCTTGGGCCGCAGAATTTATGATGACAGAAGTACGAGAGGGGGGCCGAGATAGGGTAGAACAGGGAGATGTGCATCTATCCGGAGACTTTCATGGTGTAATGGACAGATAACCGCTGCCTAATTGTTGTGACATTTATACGAAACGATTGGAGCGGTTAGAAGGAGGCAGGAATCAGCAGAAGGCAGCAAAAGTTCATCTGAGGGCGACCATGAAAGTTACTTGGGCATTTAATCTGTTCTCGATTCATGGAGTTTTATTTTAGTTTGTGGCTTGTGCATAAATTTCGATGGCCGAACGGGTTTGAAAAGTTTAATTGCCAGTTGACCTCTTGATTGTGAAATTGTGCGGAAAGTAAGTGCAGAAAATAGCGATCGATCGAGAAGTGTGGGGCATAGAAATTAGGCACGCTTTCGCGTAAATGTTGATATACCTAGTATTATTTCTATATTATTTTCCAATGAAATGCAGTTTAATATTTATATATTTTCATAATTTTAACTGAACGCAAACGAATAAAACCATTACAATAACTAAAAATGCTTTCAAAATTGTATTGTAATATAAAACAATACTCGTTGAGAACAATTCAATTTGACAGTTAAACTAAATAGTTTATTGCCAAACACTTTGCGGTCGTTTATTGCACGAGTGTGAGCTCATATTCAACATTTGAAATGACAATTTCCGTGTGAGTGGCACTGTCGGTGCACCTGTTGCCCCGGACGACAAGAATACTCGTATATTTTCTGCACATGCGGTGCATAAATTTCATTTCATTTAGCTGTTAATTCAATTTTATTTCTCACATTTCACGAGTGCCACCCGTGTGGTGGTGCGGGTGGGTTCACGTGGACCGACCTCCTCTGCCCACAATATATTGAATGGCGCACGTAAATTAACCCAGAAACGTTTTCGTGCATAAAATGCCAAAAATTTAACTAAAATTATGCACCTTTTGTGGGAGTCCACGTCCCCTCGCCCGTCGCCCGTCGTCCCCTCGTTCCAGGGAACAAATAGGAGCAGGACTCGGAAAAAGAGGCACACTGAACCCGAAATGGGAAGTAAAGGGGCCGGTAAGTCCTCTATCTGCACTGCCTCTCTGGTGCGCAGGAATGCATAAAGCGCTGATTGCAGCATGTCCTCGTCCTCGCGCTCCCCATCCTGCCTCTGCGAACGTGCCCGGGTTTACACGCAAATAAATACACGAACAGCAACAAAAATCCCCGCCACTGTGGGGTTAAGCAGCTGAACAAGAACAAAAAAGATGAAAAACTGAAAGAAAAACTGGAAGATGCTGGCAGAAAAAATATGAAAAGCGGGTGCCAAAACAAAAATGCAATTTATTTGCAAAGACAACCAAAAAAAAAACTCTTAAAACACCATAGGAAAGCATAAAAAAAAGGCTTTTTATACATAACACATAACTTTATCACGTGACTGAAGAGCGACAACAGCGGCCGCCAGGTGGCGCTAGTCAGAGCGGCAGAACGGAAACCGGAAACGCGGCTGACAGCAAACTCTGCCTGACAGCGGAAGGCATAGGGAGTGTGACGGGTGGCGCGGGTGCGGGCGCGGGTCAGGCACAGCTGCCATCGCATTATCTGCACTTTGTGGATTCCACCAGCTCATCCGCATTCTGCATGAGATATTCCACAAGTTCTTATTGTTGCTTACCTTGAACTAGAGGCAAGGCAGAAAAGTGCGATAAGTCGGGCACTCTTCTCAGAAAAACGCTGTACCCTTGGATACCCTTACAGATGAATCGGTTCTCTATGGCATGCTCATCGTCATTTGATCTGGTTAAACACATGAAATTCCAATTAAACTCGAAAAAATAATGATTTCTTGTGTTTTCATATTTTATTTTTCTGTTTCTATTTCTTGGACGTCGTTTAAGGTATCGTTGGAGTGATATTCATCCAGTATTGTCTGTCTGGTGGGGTCGCCACTTGGACTTGGACATCTGGTGGGGCCTCCGCGACTTTGCCATCTGGAAGAACATCGGGCATCTGCCGCGAATAAAGATTTGACCGCATCACTCCGAGCTCTTGCCTCACTGCTGCTATTTTCATCGTCTGCAACAGCAATTATATCTTTGTAAACATGGTCCTTTTCATTTTAATGCTTCTAACATGTACATTCCATATCTCTCTTATTCTCACCGCATGCATTTCCTATAAGGTATGGCAGTCCTACTTTTATCGACCTGGTGATCAATAGCCGATTATGCTGATGGCGTTATTGAAGAGGGTGAGGGAGAGACTGCAGTATTAACCTAAAGTATTTATTTATTTACGTATGTATGCATATGTATGGGCAGTGGCTTTTGTAGCACTGTGCTTATTGGCTGGAACTGAATCACTGCATGACTGTGCTGGAGATCCTCTTGATGCCCGTGAAAAGCAAACACGTATCTGAAGAGTTGGGCAGTGAGTTTTAATTTAATTTTGTTCTGTAAAAGTTGCCTATTGAGATTCTCATGAAGTAGATTATCAAATAGAAAATGGTTATTAATAGTAAAAAGAGGAGAGCTCTTGCAATGGACACCCTACGAGATTGAGGAGATGTTTTTTGAGCATGAATATAATAAATATATGTATAAGATAAATGACAACACAGTTCAATTGGTTAAGGTAAGGTTTAACTTATGCTAAAAGAATCTTCAATTGCCACCCAAACCCAAAGAACAAACGCAAACCATTGAGAACCATTGAGGCGAATGTCATAACCCTTTCGCTGCCATTCGAATGGAATCTCAGGCCATTGAATTGGCATGAAGGGAGACCGGCCAAAGCCCGGCCCGAGTCAAAGTCAAAGTAAAAGCCAAAGCCAATGACAAAGGCCAAAGCCCGGTCACAAAGTCAGAAGTCGAAGTCCCGCATTAGCAAAAGCTGATTAATCACATTTGAAGGGCATACAATTATGCCAAATGGAGAGAGAGCCTCTGCGCCGAGTCCTTTCTGACGGGGGGTGGGGTCCTGGTCTGAAAACACACATGCAAATGTCACATTAGCCTTATACTTTAATTAATTTCTAATCCATGCTCATTGAAGGCGACTGCAATTAGAAGCTCGATGCCCCGATGTCGGATGCCTGATGGCTGATGGCTGACAAGGATTACAAGGATAACCATTTGCCCCTTACATCTGTCAAGCATCGAAACACACACATGTGTATCTATTGTGTATATGTACGTATGTTCGTGTGAATATGGGAATTATCCGACCATCAACTACAAATTAGACATTTGAAATTTAATCGTCAATTGGAGTTAAGGGGTCGGAGTGAGGGCGGCACTAGAGGCTTCTCGGTCCCAAGGTCCTGCGTTTGATAATTAAGCCCGAACGGAGTGAGGGTTATCCCCATGGGTAATCCATGGGTAGCCATTTCCCCAGCCACAAGCATTGAACATTAAATGTGAAATATTTGGCCAACTTTGCGGCAGGGACAGTCATTTGTGGAATTGATGGAATGTGCTATGGTTTGATAGGAAGTTCTTTGAAGCATGTCGTTATAGGAAGGGAAGGGAAGGGAAGGAGAGTACTTCAAGTTTGCACATACAGATGAATTTAATTAGGATAACATTTACTGGTATCCATGTGATTCTATACTGCCGATCAGATGTTTACTTTTGGCTCTCTTTTGTTTCTTTTCTATTTGTTCAAAGAAAACTTTCTACAAAATCAAGGATCCCCAGACACCAGCGAGTATTTTCACCACATACATTATATTAATTGAAATCCCATTTGGATCAATTAGCCGAAAGCTGAGTCACTACTTTTGACTATTCTAAGTATCCTTTTTATCCCCCTCCACATCCTTTCCGTAGCGATTCCTGGCAAAACCAATTGCCATTTGAGACATAATAAATTATTTATTGCCAACAGCTAAATGCCACAATCTCAGCAAACGGAAAGAGATATCTGGTAGATATATGCTAAATTTATTAACAAACTGTCACGCCCACTTCTATTAGAGGCAGCCCCGATCTGTGGGCTGTGTGTGTGTCTGTGTGGGGTGGAAATTTATCTGCCTCAGAAATAGACACCGACCGCCAACCATTCGGCACGGCTCTTCTCCCTTTCGGGGCAGGCACTTTACACACAAATTGTGTTAATTTGCATATTGGAAACTTTTGCCTAATTGAACATAATGCCACTTAATTAAAGTTAAGACAAGTTTTTGACGGTAAGATGGGCTTGCGCTTGAGCTTGGTCTTGGAGGCGGGCCCGTTGGTGGGCGCTGGTTTCTTGGCAACTAAAAGTATGGGCCAACATTTATGGCAGTTTGTTGTTGAAATTTACGGCAATTAGTTTAATATGAGCAGATTATGAGGGACGCAGGCGGAATGGAATCCTTTAGGCAAAGGCAAATTAATTTTTTGGGCATTCCCTAAACATCTACCCACTCACACAGACAGACAAACACACAGACAGACACTTATATGGAGTTGAATATTTAATGGCTCTTGTGCCGCTTGCCTTTTGGACGCCTAATTGGTTGTGCCTTAAATATTTATTAACAATAAAGCGGAAAAACTAATTGAAAGGAATAGATATTCGGGTATGCTTTACTGAAATGGAAAGGACCTACAGGTAAGCGAAAGGTAACATTTCCTTTGGATCAGATTATGGGGAAACAGTAAACTATAATAGTTGTGTATGGTATAGCCACTAACCACACAATTTATATGTTAGATGTGCCAATTCATACACCGAACATGTCGCAAACGAACAGCCAGAACAGCACCGCTTTGCATGTGTTAGTACAACACACACAATATTTTCCCCCGAAAATATGCTTATTTCGTTTTCAGAGTTTAATTTCTGTTTTCTATTGTGTTTCCAGCGTATTTTAATGTATGGGTGTTTGTTTAGCGGAGGTTGCTGAACGCCAGAGCCGAAGACTCTGGGATCCCTGTTGAAAGTTAATTGAATGATCCCAGCTCCCAATAAAGATTGCGAAATTTGTGTTCCTACTGAGAGTATATTTTATGATATATTTCCCCGGATAAGTGAACCGAGTCTTTAACCATCACTTTTCCGTTTTTTTTGGAATCTTTTTTGGAATCTTTTAGAATCGGGCGACCTCAGGCGGCTTTTCCCGTTTGGGTGTTGCCGGATCGATACTGCATCCACGATCCCTACTGCACTTTGCTTTACCTTATCGGCTTTGACCGGATAAGATTTCCTTATTTCCCCCCTATTCATCTTTCCATTTACTCTTTCTTTTTCCTCTTCTTTTAGTTTGTATTCCCTTCTGCTCTATTGGCCGAGAACCTCCCTGGCCACAATCTGCTATGCCGCGATCCCCTTCTCTTACCGCGCCAGGTACATTTATATCATCATTTGTTATCATTTGTTATTTATTTATTTTATTTAACTCTTCCTTTCATTTTAGCAGGTCGGGTGGCGATATTTTTAACATCATTTACAAGAGGCTTCACCCTTCTGGTCTTCCGGTTCATATGAGCGAGCGTGCGCTCAATGACGGTTGACCACTCAAGGCTGACATCACGAACTCCCTGCCTCGGGACATGATGGCCTCTTCCTGGCGTCCAACGATGTGTTCTCCTCCTTTCGAGTCCGCTTTCTGTCGGTACCACCACTGATGGACTCCTGGATGGACTGTGGCAGCCACTGGGTTTCCTGCTGTGGGCCCTGATGCCGCTGCTGTTTCACCGAGGATCCCTGCAGCAGGGATCAAATCGACGAAGGAAGTGTTGGTTCACGCCCATGGGAAATGTCAGCAACCACCCCATTCATATGCCGCCGCATCAAACGCTGTTCTACAGCTTCGAGACGAGTAAGTAAATCAGTAGATAATTGTGGATGTATTTTAAAATATATCTTCCCTTACAGAGAAGCATTACCGAGGCTTATTCGAGATACACCGAGGTCTATCCCAGCCAGGCCTAACCTAACAAGCTATCGACATCCTTCGACCTGGCCATCGACAACAAGGACTTTGACTATGGTAACCAAGCGAAGAGCTACGCGGGATGCTAGACTCTATATAGATCTCGTTGTTGTTAGGTGTAAGATAGATAAAACTGTTTTCCACTTGTTTATTTATTGATAATAAGCTAACTTTTGATGAATAAAATAGTTAAAAAATAATCCTTGAAACGAATTGGCGAAATATGACGGACTGGGGTTGTTTGAGTCCTTTCCAAGGGATCAGGGATATTTTTCTTATTATTTTGACACTGTTCGGCAGACTGAATCCTCACGATCCTGGGAGAGTTGGTCCTTTGCCGATCGGCCCATAAAACGCCGAGATATAGCCTTCCAACGGCTTTAATTTGCATATAATTAAAATACTGGTTTTTTCTGTAGACTATATCTCGGCTATTTATTAGCCGATTGTGGCGAGGCATGTCTCTTCGTGATCTGGAGAGTCCTGCGAATCGACTGCCATCAGAAAAAAGGACATCAATTTGTTCGCGATTTTCGCGAAAAATCATGGTGGTTACATCATGAAATTTGCAAAAAATCGGCCTCATTTTCGCAGTCGAGATTTTGACGCCGTTCGACAGTCTGAATCCTCACGATCCTGGGACAGTCGGTCCTTCGCCGATCGGCCCATAAAGAGCTGAGATATAGCCTTCCAACGATTTGAATTTGCATATCATTAAAATACTGGTTTTTTCTGTTGGCTATATCTCGGCCATTTATGGGCCGATTGTGGCGAGGCATGTGTCCACGTGATCGGGAGAGTCCTGCGAATCGACTGCCATCGGAAAAAAGGACATCAATTTGTTCACGATTTTCGCGAAAAATCATGAAATTTGCAAAAAATCAGCCTCATTTTCGTAGTCGAGATTTTGACGCCGTTCGACAGTCTGAATCCTCACGATCCTGGGACAGTCGGTCCTTCGCCGATCGGCCCATAAAGAGCTGAGATATAGCCTTCCAACGATTTGAATTTGCATATCATTAAAATACTGGTTTTTTCTGTTGGCTATATCTCGGCCATTTATGGGCCGATTGTGGCGAGGCATGTGTCCACGTGATCGGGAGAGTCCTGCGAATCGACTGCCATCGGAAAAAAGGACATCAATTTGTTCACGATTTTCGCGAAAAATCATGAAATTTGCAAAAAATCGGCCTCATTTTCGTAGTCGAGATTTTGACGCCGTTCGACAGTTTGAATCCTCACGATCCTGGGACAGTCGGTCCTTCGCCGATCGGCCCATAAAGAGCCGAGATATAGAACTCCAACGATTTGGATGTGCATATTATTAAAATACTGGTTTTTTCTGTAGGCTATATCTCGGCCATTTATGGGCCGATTGTGGCGAGGCATGTCTCCACGTGATCGGGAGAGTCCTGCGAATCGACTGCCATCGGAAAAAAGGACATCAATTTGTTCACGATTTTCGCGAAAAATCATGATGGTTACATCATGAAATTTGCAAAAAATCGGCCTCATTTTCGTAGTCGAGATTTTGACGCCGTTCGACAGTCTGAATCCTCACGATCCTGGGACAGTCGGTCCTTCGCCGATCGGCCCATAAAGAGCCGAGATATAGCCTTCCAACGGCTTTAATTTGCATATAATTAAAATACTGGTTTTTCCTGTAGGCTATATCTCGGCTATACGCCAGCCGATCGGAATGCGGCATGTCTCCACGTGATCGGGAGAGTCCTGCGAATCGACTGCCATCGGAAAAAAGGACATCAATTTGTTCACGATTTTCGCGAAAAATCATCAAATTTGCAAAAAATCAGCCTCATTTTCGTAGTCGAGATTTTGACGCCGTTCGACAGTCTGAATCCTCACGATCCTGGGACAGTCGGTCCTTCGCCGATCGGCCCATAAAGAGCTGAGATATAGCCTTCCAACGATTTGAATTTGCATATCATTAAAATACTGGTTTTTTCTGTTGGCTATATCTCGGCCATTTATGGGCCGATTGTGGCGAGGCATGTGTCCACGTGATCGGGAGAGTCCTGCGAATCGACTGCCATCGGAAAAAAGGACATCAATTTGTTCACGATTTTCGCGAAAAATCATGAAATTTGCAAAAAATCGGCCTCATTTTCGTAGTCGAGATTTTGACGCCGTTCGACAGTCTGAATACTCACGATCCTGGGACAGTCGGTCCTTCGCCGATCGGCCCATAAAGAGCCGAGATATAGAACTCCAACGATTTGGATGTGCATATTATTAAAATACTGGTTTTTTCTGTAGGCTATATCTCGGCCATTTATGGGCCGATTGTGGCGAGGCATGTGTCCACGTGATCGGGAGAGTCCTGCAAATCGACTGCCATCGGAAAAAAGGACATCAATTTGTTCACGATTTTCGCGAAAAATCATGATGGTTACATCATGAAATTTGCAAAAAATCAGCCTCATTTTCGTAGTCGAGATTTTGACGCCGTTCGACAGTCTGAATCCTCACGATCCTGGGACAGTCGGTCCTTCGCCCATCGGCCCATAAAGAGCCCAGATATAGCCTTCCAACGATTTGAATTTGCATATCATTAAAATACTGGTTTTTTCTGTAGGCTATATCTCGGCCATTTATGGGCCGATTGTGGCGAGGCATGTCTCCACGTGATCGGGAGAGTCCTGCGAATCGACTGCCATCGGAAAAAAGGACATCAATTTGTTCACGATTTTCGCGAAAAATCATGATGGTTACATCATGAAATTTGCAAAAAATCGGCCTCATTTTCGTAGTCGAGATTTTGACGCCGTTCGACAGTCTGAATCCTCACGATCTTGGGACAGTCGGTCCTTCGCCGATCGGCCCATAAAGAGCCGAGATATAGAACTCCAACGATTTGGATGTGCATATTATTAAAATACTGGTTTTTTCTGTAGGCTATATCTCGGCCATTTATGGGCCGATTGTGGCGAGGCATGTCTCCACGGGATCGGGAGAGTCCTGCGAATCGATTGCCATCGGAAAAAAGGACATCAATTTGTTCACGATTTTCGCGAAAAATCATGATGGTTACATCATGAAATTTGCAAAAAATCGGCCTCATTTTCGTAGTCGAGATTTTGACGCCGTTCGACAGTCTGAATCCTCACGATCCTGGGACAGTCGGTCCTTCGCCGATCGGCCCATAAAGAGCCCAGATATAGCCTTCCAACGATTTGAATTTGCATATCATTAAAATACTGGTTTTTTCTGTTGGCTATATCTCGGCCATTTATGGGCCGATTGTGGCGAGGCATGTGTCCACGTGATCGGGAGAGTCCTGCGAATCGACTGCCATCGGAAAAAAGGACATCAATTTGTTCACGATTTTCGCGAAAAATCATGATGGTTACATCATGAAATTTGCAAAAAATCGGCCTCATTTTCGTAGTCGAGATTTTGACGCCGTTCGACAGTCTGAATCCTCACGATCCTGGGACAGTCGGTCCTTCGCCGATCGGCCCATACAGAGCCGAGATATAGCCTTCCAACGATTTGAATTTGCATATCATTAAAATACTGGTTTTTTCTGTAGGCTATATCTCGGCCATTTATGGGCCGATTGTGGCGAGGCATGTCTCCACGTGATCGGGAGAGTCCTGCGAATCGACTGCCATCGGAAAAAAGGGCATCAATTTGTTCACGATTTTCGCGAAAAATCATGATGGTTACATCATGAAATTTGCAAAAAATCGGCCTCATTTTCGTAGTCGAGATTTTGACGCCGTTCGACAGTCTGAATCCTCACGATCCTGGGACAGTCGGTCCTTCGCCGATCGGCCCATACAGAGCCGAGATATAGCCTTCCAACGATTTGAATTTGCATATCATTAAAATACTGGTTTTTTCTGTAGGCTATATCTCGGCCATTTATGGGCCGATTGTGGCGAGGCATGTCTCCACGTGATCGGGAGAGTCCTGCGAATCGACTGCCATCGGAAAAAAGGGCATCAATTTGTTCACGATTTTCGCGAAAAATCATGATGGTTACATCATGAAATTTGCAAAAAATCGGCCTCATTTTCGTAGTCGAGATTTTGACGCCGTTCGACAGTCTGAATCCTCACGATCCTGGGACAGTCGGTCCTTCGCCGATCGGCCCATACAGAGCCGAGATATAGCCTTCCAACGATTTGAATTTGCATATCATTAAAATACTGGTTTTTTCTGTTGGCTATATCTCGGCCATTTATGGGCCGATTGTGGCGAGGCATGTGTCCATGTGATCGGGAGAGTCCTGCGAATCGACTGCCATCGGAAAAAAGGACATCAATTTGTTCACGATTTTCGCGAAAAATCATGATGGTTACATCATGAAATTTGCAAAAAATCGGCCTCATTTTCGTAGTCGAGATTTTGACGCCGTTCGACAGTCTGAATCCTCACGATCCTGGGACAGTCGGTCCTTCGCCGATCGGCCCATAAAGAGCCGAGATATAGAGCTCCAACGATTTGGATGTGCATATTATTAAAATACTGTTTTTTTCTGTAGGCTATATCTCGGCCATTTATGGGCCGATTGTGGCGAGGCATGTCTCCACGGGATCGGGAGAGTCCTGCGAATCGACTGCCATCGGAAAAAAGGACATCAATTTGTTCACGATTTTCGCGAAAAATCATGATGGTTACATCATGAAATTTGCAAAAAATCAGCCTCATTTTCGTAGTCGAGATTTTGACGCCGTTCGACAGTCTGAATCCTCACGATCCTGGGACAGTCGGTCCTTCGCCGATCGGCCCATAAAGAGCTGAGATATAGCCTTCCAACGATTTGAATTTGCATATCATTAAAATACTGGTTTTTTCTGTTGGCTATATCTCGGCCATTTATGGGCCGATTGTGGCGAGGCATGTGTCCACGTGATCGGGAGAGTCCTGCGAATCGACTGCCATCGGAAAAAAGGACATCAATTTGTTCACGATTTTCGCGAAAAATCATGAAATTTGCAAAAAATCGGCCTCATTTTCGTAGTCGAGATTTTGACGCCGTTCGACAGTCTGAATACTCACGATCCTGGGACAGTCGGTCCTTCGCCGATCGGCCCATAAAGAGCCGAGATATAGAACTCCAACGATTTGGATGTGCATATTATTAAAATACTGGTTTTTTCTGTAGGCTATATCTCGGCCATTTATGGGCCGATTGTGGCGAGG